ATACTCTAACGCGAGTTGGATATCCGATACACAGGACTCTAAGGCTACCAGTGGATATGTGTTCACCTTAGGTGGTGCAGCTATTTCATGGAAATCCTCTAAGCAAACGGTAATAACCAGATCCACGATGGAAGCTGAGTTTGTTGCTTTGGATAAATGTGGCAAAGAAGCTGAATGGCTTAGACATTTCTTAGAGGACATTTTGGATTGGCCAAAGCCTGTACCTGCAATTTGCATACACAGCGATAGCCAATCAGCTATTGGTAGAGCACACAATACAATGTATAATGGTAAGTTTAGACATATATGTCGTCGACATAATACCATTAGACAATTGATCTCAACAGGAGTCATAGTCGTTGACTATATAAGGTCGAAAGATAATATTGCGGATCCGCTGACCAAAGGACTGAATCGAGATCAAGTTGAAAAAACATCTAGAGGAATGGGATTGAAGCCCATGGAAAAATAGGTTGAAGTAATGGAAACCCAACCTAGCTGACTGGAAATCCCAAGATCTAGGTTCAATGGGACAACTAAATTGTCTAGATCGGCTGAGTTCACTGTGGGGGTAACCCCAGCCTATTCCTATGATGATAACAGTGAAACCCGTACGAGAAAAAAGGTTAAACATTGGTTTTTAATGATTCTTATGCGTCGGATACGTCAGGAATCCGAGCAGAGTAATACGGGTTACTCTTCATTAAGAAATCACCTATGGGAGAGAGAAGTGGGGCCGTTTCAAAGGAGAATTGTGAGGGCTCAATTCTTTAGAAACTATTGTAGAACCAGGTAGATGTTCATGGCCGAAACGAACATAACCATGAGAACAAAACTGTGTCAGGAAGATGTCTGTGTGAAGTATAATAACATTTACATGAAGGCGGAACAGTTCAAAGACGTCGCGTCTACTGGTCAGCCAGTAAAGTTTTGTATTCTCACAAGGGAAGGTTCAAAAGGTAACGCCTACCTATAATTTGCAGGCATCGACCGCGGAACTCTATCACCGTGTCGAGTTTGTGTTTTTCTTGTCGTGGGTCAATTTTTCATTCATGTGGGGGATTGTTGGAAAAATGGCTTGTTAAGCCATTTTAAAGGCCCATTTTGAGGCTCATATTCAGATGGGGCCCAATAGGTTTTTAGGACGGGTCTCGATGGATTTGCATTCTCCGTCGCGAGGAGATCAAAATCGAGTATTCATACACTCAAAATGATTTTTGGGTGAATGAGAAATTGATGGTCTAAGTATGGTACTTGGAATGGTAAATGAAGAAGGAAAATTACAAAAATCCCACATTGGCTAGGAGTGAAGCCAATGTGGTAGTTATAAGTTATTGCACTTTGAAGCCTATGTAAGCATGTATACCAGAGACACTCTCTCACGCGCAAGGGGGGTGCAAATCACGATCCCGGCGGGTTGGGGGCCAATGTGTGCGCCCGCGACCTGCGGACATGAATGCCGGACCAGAAAACCCGTTCCGTGCGAGCTTACTTTTACAATTTTTATTTTTGCTTCAGCCAAGTCCTTCCAGCTTCCAGCCGTTTGGCTGAGCATAAAGCTGTGCTTAATGGCTGGTAAATAAGCATAATAGAGGCTTAATGGTGATCAATGGAGGTAAACCGTTTTGCCATGGTTAATAAGCTTAATACCATCATTTTCATTCATAAAGGTCCGAACCTTGGTGTACAGAGGTGGCCGGGTTCATCTTGAGAGAAATGAATGGTTTCTTGGCTGTAATAATGTGAGATTAAGCCCCATAATTGCTTGATTCCGAAACTTTTTTCTCAAGACCCTATATAAAGGGTTCTCCCCATGAAGCAAATCACACTTTTCAGAATTCTCTTCTCCTTTTTCCGGTTTTCTCTCTGTCTTGGGTAGTTCCGGATTTCCTTGAGTAGTTCTTCTTGTTCCGGTTTTGGTGATAGAGGAAAGATCAAGTTCTAGTTCGCCAGACGGTTCCAAAAGTGCATCGAGCTACCGTCGTTGTCATTGTATCCTGGGAGACGGACGTCCAACATAACCTCAAGCACACGTCGGAGGGGACGAATCTGTTTTAAGATTGTTAGCCGAAATAGTATGGATAATACAAAAGAGGAACAAGTTAAGGAAAACGTGCTCCACGTGCCTCGACATTCTTGCAATTTCCATTTTTGAGTTTTGGTAAAAAGGTTAAATTACAATTGTATGAATTTCGGTTTTGTTCTTCCTTAACTTGTTCCTCTTTTGTATTATCCATACTATTTCGGCTAACAAAATGCTCTCACAAAATGCAACTAAGAGAATATAGAAATCTACACTCTCATATAAACTCACATACGCTCACCAATTTGGAATGCTTCAAATGGGTTTTATTGTTCTTTATATAGTGTTCACGGATTGAATTAGGTAGACTAGAGATTAATCCGCAATTCAATATGTTACTTTATATTGAAAAAATCTCAATTAACGAGTCTTTTAATCCAATTCAATCCAATCTAAAAACGTTGGACTTCGCGGATTGGACCTCTTGACTATTATGGTATAACTTTATACTATCATCATAAGTCATAAAATTCATTGTAAAACTAGATATTAAAATAAACATAACGGATTCTCTACTGATAGGGTATGAATTATACACCATTGATTTAAGATGAACAAGGTGAAGGCTTAGTGAGCTAAAAATACAACCTCCCGCATATAATTCAATGCCAGATTACAACATCAAAAATAAATTAAAACATAGAAAGTTTGCAAGTTGTGTTGGGGAGGGCGAAGAACCATGTTGTAAAATAGACTAAGATTGCTTTGGAAACTTGCAAATCACACGGTCTTGAACCAACATCTCCCTAAATTCAAAATCCCTAGATTTTCTACCTACAAAATTTCGAATCCCAAATTTTATATTATGAAATGAATCTTCATGAGGATATAATCCATTCTGAGGTTGAATTTTGCATCATGCAGAAAATCAGCCGTGCATGTTGTTCGTGAATTTATTGTTGACGAATTTTCACTGTCAACACACATGTCATTAATGCATTAACAATATGTCACCTAATCCAGTTGCGGTTGTTGATTTGCGTCATAGAGTCCCATATGGATTATTCCTTGCCTTCTTTGTGACTGAGGTTAGTATTACTTCAATTTATGTACTTAGACCTTCTAATTGCTTTCTTTTTTAGTAGAAATGTATTCTGACTCTCAAACTAAATATCTAGCAATACATATTTAAGGTGAGATGCATAATCAATTTGTAGAGTCAAAAAAATGAAATGTCATATGCCACTAAAGGAAAACGCAAGGAAAATTCTATGTAGAGAGCAAGCTTTTTCTATCATTAGATTAAATTTAAATGTTTTGATCTATTAATGTCCACGTTAGAAATATTGTACTTTATAGCACAAAACTGCTCATACTCATAGATCATATCGTTCTTTTATTTACGTTGTTTTTGTCTAATTGTATAACTTTTGATATTAGTGATTCTCATGTTTTGATTTTTTTTGGTCATTGATCAGGAGCAACTGCAAGAACAAGCAAATCTTTAAACTGCAAAAATATATTTTTCGATAAATTCGTACATTGTTTTGTTCTAATTTCATTCTGGAAAGAAAAAAGATGAATTTTTATTTTAAATAGAAAAAGAAGAATTCTATTCCAATGAACATGATGGAAAAGAGAGGGAGAGAATTCTACAAGTTTATTCCACCGTGAAGCTCATGTACCAGTCTTCGCCTATTGGAGGAGAGATCGATTTTCCTTTTTGTTTTTGGTTTTTTTTGTTTTTTTTTGTTTTTTGTAGGAACCGTTGTTTTCCTTACTGGTAGAAAATGTTGTTTTGATTGTTAGATTAATTACTTAATGGTTTGATCTATGATCGAAATGTGTGGCTCATTGTAAATTTTAAACGAGCACGCTTGCGTATCATACATTGAAAAATTAATTCAACAGCGAATAAACCAGTTGCTAGCGATGGGGAAAAAAGAATAGTTCTCATCATAGAAGACTAAACGAGCCACAAGCTGAGGTAAAATAAAATCTCAAGAACTAACTGTAAAAGATTTTAAAAGTCAATGACCAAAATGGAATTAAAGATAAACCTCATGGTCATGGACTATTTGTGAGATTAAAAAGAAAATTTATAATTAATTAGCATTTTTTCAGAATATATTATTAAGTAGCTTATTAAAAACATATAAAATAGAAGGAAAAAAATGAAGACTAAAGTGATAAAATAGGAAGAATTTTAGGGATACAAGTACTTAAAAAATTACATTAACAGAAAAAATTAAAAATTAGGAAAAATTTCATATTAATACCTATATTTTAGTATAATTGTCTTTTACTACTTTCTGTTTTTAATCATTTTAAATTGATACCTCGAAGTTTTAGAAAATCATTTTTAGTATTTTAAGATCATTTTTTAAAATGTAAAATGTTAAAGTTAATATTCTCATTAATTAACCAAAAAACTAAAAATAAATTTTGAAAATTTTTGAAAATTTTTTTATACATTTAAAATTAAAAATAATGATTTAAATTAAAAATAATTTTTTTAGAGTTTTTTATAAATTTATTAGTTTTTAGTAAAGTAATGAGAATGATAAATTTGATATTTTACATCTTAGAAATGGCCTCAAACCTCAAAATACTAAAAATAATTTTTTAAAACGTTAAATTATTAATTTAAAATTATTAAAAATACATAATACTAAAAAATAATTATATTAAAACACATGATATTAATATGAAATTTTTCCCAAACTTTAAAAAAAAACGACAAAATAAAAGACAATACCACCACTGTATAATAAATTAATAATAACAAAGTCGAGACAAACAGTTGCTTATTAAAAAAACAATGTCCAGAGAAACGGTTTGTTTTATTGTTAAACTTTTTCCATGGAGACATACAGATATTATTGCATGCAAAAAATTATATTCAATTCGAATTGTTGTATAGCAATAATTATTTTTAATTTGAAATTAAAAAATAGCGATAATTAGAGCAGCCCCTAAGAAATGTACGTTTTCGTCATGCACTTAATATATTCATTTATGTGAAGAAGAACAAAACAATATTCAGAAGAAGAAGAAGAGCAGAGCATCAATGGCGGAGAAGCCGAGCAAAATGATTGTGGCCGTGAATCCGAAGCCAAACAGAGGTCTGACTTCGAAGCTCATTGACTGCTTCGAGACTGTCATCGTCAAGCTCTTCTACCGCTCTTCTCAGTCTCACCATTATCTCTCCGGTACCTTCGCCCCAGTTCGCCACGAAACCCCTCCCACCGCCGACCTTCCCGTCTCCGGTTCTCTTCCTGTTAGTCATCATTTTCTTTTACTTACGTTGACTCTAGATCAGAATTTTATTTTATTTTTTTGCTGAAAGGATGAAATTTTGATTGCTGAAAAGAGTGGAGATTCGAAACGAGTTTCAAAGAATGTGCTTGATGATGGAAAACAAAAAGAATCGGATTTTGGTGACTATTGGAATTGAATTTCAAGTTGAATCCTGTTAGATTCTCCGGTTCTCTTCCTGTTTGTGAATTTTATTCTTTTTACTTGCGCCGTTAGATTCCTTTTAACTTCTGTTTAGTAATCAGAGAAAATACCATTAAAAAAAAAAAAAAAAAGAAACAACTGAAAGGCTGAAACTTTGCTTGCTGAAAATAGTAAAGAATTAATTAGATATATGAAATGAGTTTTCAAAAAATGTGCTTGAACAGGGCCGGCAATTTTATTTGTAATATGTGTGTGTGTCTATATATATATGACTCAATGTTGTTAGATTCTTTATTATTAATAGAAACTTTATTCTTAGCTAGTATATTAAGGCCTTGTTTTGTTTGGTGATGGATGGATTTCAAAACTTATGGTTGTTTAATACGAGGGATTAGAGAAGGAAATGGATTGCATGAGCGATTCAAAATCTTTGGCATGGAATTAAAGAAGTAGATTCATATCAAAGACAATACTTTTCTATTTTCCTTCTCTCTTTACCGAACGCAGCCTAATGTAAATTCAGTAAAGAAAAACTGGTAAACTGCTCAATTATGTATCTGTCTATCACAATGAGGTTTCTTTATTCATTGCTATTTGCAAGGCGGGCTTTTTTGGTGGTTTAGAGTACTAGTGATTATTGTACTTGATCACTCCATAATTAAGCAAGTTTATCTATATGGGCTTCATGTTCTAATTTCTTTTCCTTAATTCTTTTCTGCAAATACCTGTATTAAGCTGTATGTTGTCCTGTTTGTGCTGCCATGTTGTGTGTTACCTACAGGAATGCTTAAATGGAGAGTTTGTTCGGGTGGGTCCCAACCCCAAGTTAGACCCAGTTGCTGGATATCATTGGTATTCCTTTTGCCTTAATTAAACTGTTTATATATATATATATATATATATAGAGAGAGAGAGAGAGAGAGAGACACACACACACACACACATTGATTAGGTGGGTTTTTGCTTATTCCTTTCGTTGCTATCTTGTGCAGGTTTGATGGTGATGGGTGTGTGATCTTCTGCTACCTCGTTGATTTGTTCACATTTGTTGCCATAAATTTTTTGTTTAACATTCTGTTAGTTGTATAATTTATGTTTGTTTTTTACTCTATTTATCAATGCAATATGCACATGAAGTATGAGCTGCTTAATGACGTTAAAATTTGCAGTATGGTTCATGGTGTGCGCATCAAAGATGGAAAAGCAACATATGTCTCCCGTTATGTGAAAACATCGCGTCTTCAACAAGAAGAGTATTTTGGAGGTGCTAAATTTTTGAAGGTATGAGAGTCTACTATATTGGACATTTTTAATCTAAGATTTCACTTTATTAGAGTACTTAGAAAGGTGCAATTTAACTTTCAATTATACTTTAGGCTCATGATCTCTACGTGTTCTTGGGAGAATATTGAGTTTTTCTTATAAGTTTTGAAGTCAACTTATGAAATGCAACTGAAACATGTAGATGAAATACTTTTGTGTTAATACGTTTAATGGTTTAGTGGTAATGGTCAAGTCTAAAGTGTTTGGTGATGCTCTTGACTGTGTATTTTATAAAATGAAAGACCTGTTTATTTCGTAATTTTTTTAATGCTGAACTCTTTCGGTTGCTCCTTTTCCCTACTCTTACTAATTTAATCGTCTTTCTAATTATGTATTGACACTAGTAACTACCTCCCCTAACAAAAACTAGCAGAAAACGATAGGGAAAACCATTAAAAATCTCAAGTAGGTTAAGCGTCATTCTAGGTTTTTAGTTTCCAAGTTCCTTTTAAAAGTTTTCTGATTTTGCAATTTCAGATTGGAGACCTTAAAGGGCTTTTTGGATTACTCATGTTTAACATGCAAACGCTGAGAAGAATGCTCAAAGTATTAGATCTTTCATATGGATCTGGAACAGGTATTATTGATCTACTAATGATGTTGATGATCCTGATCATATTAGCTTCAAACCAGTTAGGGAAGTGTTATCTTCTTTATATATAAGCCTCAGAGTCATTGCTGAAATTATTGCCTTATCCTTTCCATAATGGGGTCTATTCACTTGCTATTTTCCTATCCTTTGAGCAGTGTTATGAACTGACTGTTGATCTCTTCCAGCTAATACAGCTCTTGTATATCACAGCGGAAAACTTCTAGCACTTCATGAAGGGGACAAACCTTGTAAGCATACTATACAGCTCTTTCTTCTTTATCATCTGAATTATCACAATGTATACTCTGCATGTCCTCCTTTTTGTTTTTTGAACAAAGGGTGGGTGGGTCAGAACTTGGGATCTCATCGTTGAAGTGATCTTGAATCATTACTAAGCTAAGCCAGCAACCACTTGTGTGAAAAATTGTTGAGGGATAATTAAAAAGTTTTTCTTCAATTTCTGTGGTTCGCACTACTGTTTACCATACAAGCTAATATGAAAAGTTTGCAACTTCTTCCTTCATTGGACTGAAATTATCGACGATTCACAACGCAGATGTCCTTAAAGTCTTGGAAGATGGAGATCTGCAAACACTTGGCATGCTTGATTATGACAAGAGATTGCAACATCCATTCACGGCCCATCCAAAGGTTGACCCATTTACTGGTGGGCACATCTTCCAAAACAAATTTAGTTTGCTACATAATGATTTGCTTTACCCAAAGAGTTCTTGATGCAGGAGAGATGTTCTCGTTTGGTTATGCAACAACCCCTCCATATGTCACTTACAGAATCATTTCAAAGGATGGCTTCATGCATGATCCAGTGCCTCTAACAATATCGGACCCCGTAATGATGCACGACTTCGCCATTACTGAGAATTATGCTATTTTCATGGATCTTCCTTTGATTATGAAGCCAAAGGTATATTAGTTGGTAATTCCTAGATGTTATTGATTAAAAGCTACCAAATAAATTTTGTTTCATCCTGTTTGGCACAAGAGAAATGCTAATCCATTTTACATGTATATTTGATGAGATGTCTGTGCTGAATATGAGTGCTAATAATTTCTATAATTTCTACAGTGGTGGCTTTTTGGTAGATAATGATGCATACTACAGAAGTAATGCTTTTTGAAATTTCAGGAAATGGTGACAGAAAACAGGCTGATATACTCATTTGACGCGAATAAAAAAGCTCGCTTCGGTGTGCTTCCTCGGTACGCAAAGGATGAGCTTTTAATCAAATGGTTTGAGCTTCCAAATTGCTTCATATTTCATAATGGTGAACATCTTTGCTTTCCTATATGGTTTGAGCTTCCAAATTGTTTCATATTTCATAATGGTTTGAGTTGTTTTATAACCGTTTTTTTTTTCTATAGCGACTGCATGGGAGGAGGAAGATGAAGTTGTTCTAATCACTTGCCGCGTCGATAATCTAGATTTAGACGCGGGCGGTGGAACTGTCAAAGAAAATCTCGAGCATTCCCGAACTGAACTGTAAGAGGATTTTGACCCATTTAATGGTGTCATAGCTTCTCTATAGTGCACTCATTTCACATTATTCTTTAAGGTATGAGATGAGATTCAACATGAAGACTGGTCTAGCATCACAGAGAAAACTCTCCGCATCAGCTGTAGATTTTCCCAGGGTGAATGAGAGCTACACTGGCAGGTACAGACCTCCTGCTATTTGGGAGACTTTCTTGTCTTGCAAGAAAGCGCCATCCAAGTTCTTAGGCCATTTTCTTTTCTTTTCTTTTTTTTTTTTTTTTGCAAGGAGGGACGGAGGTAAAAGTTTTTCTCACTTTTGCCCCCATTTTGCCCGCCCTAAATTCTTAATTTAAAAAACTTGTAAATTTTTTAACAATTTCAACCACACCCTTACGTTGCTTCAATTAGTTTCAAATTCTAAAGACTGAAATAAACTGAATGCCAACTACGTAAATCTGTAAATCGAATTGAACTTAACAATGCTTTGTTTATTTGGACAAAGAAACAATATATATGTGTGTGTGTGTGTGTCTGTGTCTGTGTACATTTGAATAGAGTTGTAAAAAAAAAAAAAGGAAGAAGAGAGAGAGAGAGAAGAAGATAATGTTTGCCTTTTCAAGTTTTATATTAGTGTCAACGAGATGAAAGTATACGATGGAAGAAAAATGCAATTTCCTTATGTTCTCCCAATTCACAAATTGTCCTATGAGTGATTGAAATCAGGAAACAGCGTTATGTGTATGGAACCAAACTGGGAAGCATCGGAAAAATCACAGGCATTGTCAAATTTGATCTACATTCCGAACCAGATAGTGACAAAACATGTCTTGAGGTTGGTGGGACTGTTCAAGGCCTCTATGACCTGGGACCCAACCGATGCGGTTCCGAGGCTGTGTTTGTTCCCAAGGTGCCTGGGGTCACTTCTGAAGAAGATGATGGCTACTTGATATTCTTTGTGCATGATGAGAAATCCGGGTATTACTTTCATTTTTCACAACTATAGGCAAAAGTTTACAAGTACCCTTTTCAAATGAATGGACAAAAAGTTACAGTTTTTGGGATGGAAGATTGAAACCTTTCTGAAATTAGATCTTCAACATCATGCAGAAAATCAGCAGTGCATGTTATTGATGCAAAAACAATGTCACCAGATCCCGTTGCAGTTGTTGATTTGCCCAGCAGAGTTCCACCTGGATTCCATGCCTTATTTGTCACAGAGGTAAGTGTCCTTTTTATTTTGGAAATCAGAAATTTTACTATATTTCATTATTCTCCATCAAAAGATATTCTGAAAATTGAAATTTTACTTTCAGGTCGCATTTTAAAAGAACAAGTATGATAACTTACCGAAATTTAATGAAAATATTGTCCAAAACTATGCCTACTGGTGTATTTTTGTGGTACCAATACCATATCACATAATTATACCTTCTTTTATTTTTCTCATTTTGTTTCATTCTTTCTCCTTCCCTCTATTTTCCGTCCATCTTACCAAACGTAGTGATCTAATGATAATAAAGGAAGTGCGAATGCTCATGTAAGGCAAAATGGAAATTATAATATAATATTATGACTTATAGAGGTGACTGTGGAATTGGATGTTAAAAATGAATCTTCTGCCAAAAAAAAGGTGCAGCAAAGTACTTGGGATACAGTGATTTCAAAATAAATGTTTCCTCTTATTTTTCCTCTACCCTTTCCCTTCTAGTGTTGGTGAATCTTACTTGAATATATTCATGATTCTTCATCAGGAACAACTGCAAGAACAAGCAAAACTCTGAATTGTAAATCTTTCTGGAAGGGACAAAGATTCAGCAGTTAATGTACTCCCAAGTTTCCATCAACTTATGTATTTGCACAATCTTTCGTACATTAGAAGAAACATTCACCATCTTGTTTTAGTATTGTACTTTCTCTTAATTGTGTTTTAACTTATTTTGTCATCCCTTTGCGTACTGTATTATATGAAAGCTTATTATATGAATATCCCGGAATGGTTGTCCTTTTATTTTATTGTATTGTAGCTGACAAAGTTTATAGCCAAAATCCCATCTTTCCATCCGTGGGTCTAATCACTCACAAACTCAAAGTCACAACCTTTAACACAATTCCATCCAACCATCCACTAAATTTGGAATTTTAGTTGGGAAAATAAATATAGGCCGTGTTTACATCTCATTTTTATTTTTCACTTTTTTAAAAAATAAAAAATAAAAAATTTTTAAAATAGCGTTTTAGTTTAATGTAAAATAAAAAAATAATAAAAAATAATTTTTTTTTTTTTCAACGAGAGAAAAAGAGAAACATTAATAAATTTTTTATATATTAAAAATAATATTTTAATAAAATTACTAAAATAATTTTTTTTAAAAATTTCTATCTAGATTAAAAAATGATTTTATTTTTATTTTTATATAAAAAATAAATTTATTTTATAATGAATTTTAAACGCGTCAGATTTCGTATTGATAACATTACATCACTGGAATTAAGAAAACGTTTGGTTCATGGATTAGAACTATTTTTAATTTACGTGTATTTTTTATGAGAAAAAATACTGTTAAGAATCACAAATCATAATTCAAATAAAAAACAAATCTAGATACTAAACATCCTTTAAATAAATTATAAATTTAACAGAATTTTGGGGGGGAAAAAAAGTTCTGACTTATTCACAGTGATCCTCTTTTCAATACCCCAACTATATAAAATTCTTTGTTGAAAGAAAGAAAAGAAGTTCGTTAAGGGTATTTATTTAGGGGCATAAATACTTATTATGTCATTTGAATAAAAATTATTCAATTTGGCATACAACTTTATTCTAAAAAGGAAATCATCCGGAGTTCTTTTTTCATGAAATTTTTAGATTCAGGGTCAATCCAAAAATCTTATCTTTTCATTTGATCTATAAAAAAGGTCTAACATACTTCAGATTTACTTACCGAAATATCGTTAATAAGTTCTTGAAAAGAAAGAAAAAGAAAACACACAGAATAATTAAAGTTCCTAATCAAAGATTTCCCTTCATTTCTTGAAAAAAGAAAAGAGGAAAATTGAGAAGTTGATGAGAGAGATAGAGAGAGCGAGAGAGAGAGAGAGAGAGAGAGAGAGAGAGACCCTCAGGAATCGCCTGGTATCGACCTTGAAAGGGAAAAGGCAATGGATTACATGGTTTGCCATGGTTTTGTGCAGAAAAGAAGAAGAAGAAGAAGAAAAAAGAATGGCTTCCTCAACCTCTGCTCTCAAACAGAAAAAAGGGAGCACCAAACTCTTCTTCTTCTTCTTCCATTTTCAATGCCTTTCCTTCCTTTCAGATTACTAAATGTTTCATCATTGGGATATCTTTATCTCTCACCCAAAAAAAAAAAAAAAAAACAAAACTCGAAAAAAAACAAAACCACGTTTATACATGTATAGAGAGAGAACAGAGTACGCCATGGCTAGGGCTTTTTTTTTCCTTCTGAAATTTACCAACCTGAATCATTTTCTCTGTTTATATACTCCTCATCACCTTTGACTGGGCCGCTGATGGGCCTGCCTCTTTCTAGATTTTCCCTTCTCTCTCAGTCTCTTTGTTGTAGTTATTCACAAAGTAAACGCAAATTATCAGTTATTTACTGCTCGTTAAAATACGGTAATCTTCACGAATATTCTTTAAAATTATATAAATTAAAATTTTTATCTTTTATTCTTGATTCATAATATTTTTAATTAAATAATTACACTAATAAAAGATTATATATTAATAATATAGATTAAAAATTTAGACACATACACCGTAAATTCTCTATTTTTTTCAAATATAAGATACCAAAACATTTTGCTCTTTGCTTTCCTTTTTTTTTTCTTCAAGGATTAATCTCATTGGTAGCCCCTAAATTTTAAGTCATTCTTATTTTATTCTTTAAAAAAACTCTCATTTTACCCTCAAAACTTTAAATTTATATCATTTAAACCCTTTTGTTAAAATCAAATAGAAAAAGAAGGATTAAGCGTAACTATGTAATTTTTATCTGTTTATTTTTAACAGAAATTTAAACATAAAGATTACGTGATTATATTATTCTCTTCTTTTTTCTATCTGTTTTAATAGCAATTACAACAAAAAGAATTAAGTAGAGATAATTCTAGGAAGTAAGAGTTTTAAAAATTCCAAAAATAAATTAAAAATGACTTTAAATTTCAAGAGCATCAGTGATAATTTTTTTTTTTTTTTATTCTTCTCATACTAGATCAGTTGAACTTGAACACTCATTAAAAGTTTTGTTTTTTAGGACATGCTAATGAAGCTAAAGGGTAATGGTCTAATGCTATTAACCAAAGCCAGGAATTTAAATTAATCGACAAAAAAAGAAAAAGAAAAAAGAAAAGAAGAGGGAGATATCAGAAGGGTTATATCCTCTGTCTGACTCTTTTATTGTACACGAGAGATTAATTTAACACCCAAAAAAAAAAAAAAAAGCAAACCTTTTGGTCCCAAATAGATAAAAAGTTTACACACGCTCGGGAAATAATAAGAGGTTTATATGTTTTATAAATCCTCTCATTCATCACAACCATTTCCTACATCTTCTCTCTGCTAGTTTTACAAAAGGGGGTAAAATGATGTACCGAGAGACTGAAAGGCTTCTTCAAGAGTCCCAAGCCCATTCATTTTACCCCCAAATAGACACAAAAGTAGTAACCAAAGCCAAGAATGAATTGCCTGATACAGACATTGCATAAGGTATCCCCAGAGTTGAATCCGATCCGACGTCTGCCTTGATAAGCTTCACCTGCAAGACATGACCCTCTTGTCAAAGACACACAAAGATGGCGAGCTGCTTCGATATTAAGAAGAGAGTTTATGAGTACTAAACTGGTAGACTCGTGCTTTGGGGAAACCACATCTTTAGAGAGGGCGATCTCATTTAATGGGGATGGCCCCATGAGCGGAGCCATTAAACTGCATGCTTTCCCTGCCTTGACCAAGGCAGTCACCCTCCTTGCTATCATTGAACAGCAAACCGTATGCTGATGACAGGCCATGGTCGTTGCCATTTCCATTTCCACTAGAGAGAGTTGGCACGAATCCTTCCTTCTGATGACTGGTCGAATTCACATTTGCATCGCTGGTGGATTGTGTTGATTGGTTTGTATCAGAGTTTGAGACTTTTTCTGATGTGGGGCTAGTAACATTGTTCTCTGATTTCTTCGTGTTCAGAAAACGTCCTCCACAGCCCCTTGCCCTTCTCATAGCATGCAGGTGTCGAGACTCGTGAAGATATGGCTGCAGAATATGTAATGGAAATCTTTTAGTAACCTGAGTCCTAATGCCAAAAATAACAGCTTTTTCTATGAAACACGCTAGTTTCCCCAACCTCTTCATTATTACGAAAAAGCAGCAACTGAGTTTAGAAAACTCTTACCTTTCTAGCTTTTATCGCTTTCTTTTCAAGTTCAGCTTTAGCACGTGACTGTCGTCTTCTCAAGATACCATGATACTGCTTTGCATTTACATAAACAGGTTCCTCTTCCATTTCAAGAGGCAAGGGCATTCTACCAGGATACATGCCATATAAGTGAGGAGGTACCTGTCATCATACCACGAATTTTGTTCTAATTTTGGTGGAGTATACAAGTCCTGATGCTTCAAAGAGTTGCTTGTTTCTAATCAGACAATTGGAAACAATTTAACTCAAAATTAAGTTGCGGTTCTGTGTGAGTACAAGAAAAGCATAAAATCTTGCAAGTGCTCTTGTGCTAGGAATCCAACAATCTCTAACACAAATAAATGAAAAAGAGGGATGAACTTCATTCAATAAGCTGATAAATCTCTAAATCCCAAGAATAGCCCCAAATCCCAAATAGTCTGACCATCCCCTACTAACTCCTAATTCCTCTTTTTTATACTAACCCTCCTCTAAGCACTACTAACACGCTACTAATTATACTCAAACAGCCCACTAATCAAAAAGGTCCCAAGTCATTAAAGGATCCTAACATCTTGCATGCTAGACTATGGTTGCATAAAATAAATGCCCTTACATAAGGAAATGTACGTAAAAATATCCCGACAAAGTCATCATTTTTTTAACCTAAATAAGCAGTCAAGAACTTGCCATTTTAACATTGTTCAGGGCTTCATTAAAGTATAAATAGTTAGCCAAATGTTCGTGTTTACATGGAAGAATTTTAATATCCTAAGGTAAGATGTACAAAAGACCGCAGATAGCATACCATAGGTGGAAGCCCATATGGACCCAGTACTCCGCTGTAATGTGGATCCCCATAAGGATACGGAGTTAGAACCTGCAAATTAGATAGCTTGTAATTTTGGTATACTCTGATGCAGGAAAGGCAAAGTCTAGAAGCATGAATATAAAAACAAACTTGTATCTTCCAAAAGAAGTATATACACAGTGATCCATCACGATTATTTTGATTTGTGATTACATGTTCTTGAGTACATCCGCTAGAAAACGAGAGAGAGAGAGAGAGAGAACAAGTTCCATTTGGGAATTTGGATCAAGGTGTTCCCCCGCTGCAAGGGTGGTTGAGGATGGAACAGTTTTGAGATGATTTTCTGGTGGTCCATTGTTTCCATCTGATAAATTAAATTAAAAAAAAAAAAAAAAAAAAAAAACCTGCATATTAGTTTCCATGACCAAACATAACTCAACCATAAAACGAAGAAAACATGCTTGATATATCATAAGAGATATACTTCCTCCTGCTTTCTCCAGCAAACTCTGGCAAGTAGCAGATCAAGTCCATACTTCTAATGGGAGGAAAATACTAAAGAGTTAGAAATAATAAAACTCTCAATAACAGATCAAGTCCATAGTTCTTCGAATCCTCATTCAACTAACCAACAATATCATAGAGAGATAATTATAGTCCATATCATCAAGGCATAAGGTTTCACTACTTGAGTTGGAGATTCAATGAAGAAAAAAATCATCCTAAAGTGATAATCAATTAATCATAATAATGTCAAAGATATCTACCAGTCCCAGACTCTGATGCTACTATATTTGGAGGCCTTTTTTTGTTCAAGGTATTCCCATCATCCAATCTACCACCATTAGCTCCATTTTCAAAAGAACCATTTATGGGGCGTTCCCCAAATGATGGTTTTGAATTCTTCTCATTATTCCCCACTTCCCTCCACCAAGGTTGAGCATATACACTTGATTGTAACACATTCTCTGCGCTTTGCCGTGACCTCCTATCTTCATTTTCAGCTTTTGCTGGCATCTTTCACAGCTTTCCCCACTCAAAAGAGCTTTTCTGTAACACAAAATAAACTTCAATATTCACTTTCCAATTATCTAACATAACGCATACCAGTCAATTTGCTGCCATGAAAATTCCTGAAAGCTCCAATAAAATGGGGAAAAGAGAAAAAAAACGTATATACACATCCAAAAAGCCAAACCATTGAAAGAATATGAAAGTTCTGATCCAAGTATCTAACTAAATTTTGCCTTATCAAAATCAACAGCTCCAACTAAAGACTTTGAATTTAATTGATATAAAGTAAAGATTATATATGTAAATGTGTATAAATTTCAAAAATTTTAAGTGGTTGCTCACTTAACCAATCATCAACGTGCAACTATGCACTAAATCTAAAGAAAAAGGAGCTGAATTTTCAATCTCGGTTTCTCTAATTCCAACCAAAAGTTCTTCTATTCCACACCGAAAGTTTTTGTCCCTTGACCCAAAAAAAAAAGGCAAAACCGAATCCCGAGAAAGGAATAAAGCGAAAAATGAGAGGAAATTTTTCATCACGAGGTCCAAAATTCAATCTTTTCTTTTTTCTCAAATCAAAGTTCCTCAGAGTGAGATTTTTCGCAAATTTCCATTAAAAGACAAAATTTTGCAAAAAGAAAAAAGAATTCTCGAGAGAATTGGAATAGGTAAAAGAGGAAATTGAATGAAAGAAGAAGCTTTACCTGTGGAGAGTGATAAAGAAGAAGACTGAAACCCTAAAAAAGGTTCGATTTTTTTTTTTTAAATTCAGGTCGAACAGGGAAGCTCCATTCTCTCTTTCTCTCTCTGCAACCTAAAGAGAGACAGTGGAAGATGATGGATAGAGAGAGAAAGCGAGAGAACATTTTATTTATATTTATTTTAAATTCTCAATAAATAATTATAATTAATTAATTAAAGAGATGAATTGATAGATGGATATGATTAATTAAAGAGATGAATAGGATATAATTAATTAAAGAGATGAATAGATAGATGGATAATTTTTTAAAATTAATTCACACAAAAGGTCACTGTCTCGATGAGTCTCCTCTTTCCGTTTTTTGTTTTCATCCCTTTTTGTTTTCTTTTTTTTTTTTTTAATTTTATGGTAAATACTATTTTGGTTGGATTAGATTAGAGTATCACATTACATGTACTAAAGTAAATATACAAGACTAATGAAAAATGATGTTTATGAGTATTTTTTTAACGGTGTTGAGTATTTTTACTTTGTTTTATTATTATTTATCAATGTAAAAATGATAACTCATGTTACATTATTTATTATACAAAAATTAAAATTTGAGTGATTGTTCTTAATATTATTATTATTTTACAACTATTTTAGACGATTTTTGTCTTTTTAAGAGAAGAAAAGCTTTCAGTTCTACTTTAAAAAATAATAATAATAAAATAAAAAAAGCTTTCAATTCTTAGGTCTTTATCTTCTATCCACAAGCTTCAAAAGCAAAATTGTCAAATCCACAAGCTTCGAAAGTAAAATTGTCAAATGTGTGAATATGGTAAAGAATCTCAACTCATCATTTGTCTAATAATGCTTTTTAATGACTTTTTTCTCTATTTTTCTTTTCCTAAATAAGTTACTTTTTATGACTTTTACTTGAAAGTTGAAACCAAATGTAAAATAGTTAAAATTGCGGAGGAGATTTATAAAAAAAAAATCAAATAAATGAAATGTTGAAAATCAGTCGAGTCTTCTTTAAGTAATAATGCATGAGGAATTCATTTATTTATTTTTTATTAGGACCAAGAAAAAAGCATGATTGAGAAGTTACTAAAAACTAGTACCAGTAGAAATTCATTTATTTTGGCACTTTTTGTTACTAATAATTTGCTTGCTTTCAAGTTCAACTACTTTTTCTTGGCTTTTGTTTTAATATATCCAATGGGAGACAAAAGCCATAAAGGATGGTAGGGGCAATTTGGGCATTAGATTACGACGCTCCTTCCAAAGACTAGTTAAAGTGTTTAAGAAAAAAATTAATTAATTATGTAATTATAAAAAAAGGGTAAAGGTTTGCCACGCTGAAACTGGTGTGCATCCCACAACGCGTCCGATCAATGATGAACTTGACTTTGGGGCCCACTTCGACGTTTATCCCCCTTTATTTTTCTTTAAAAAAAAAACGTGAACATTGTCTAGCTGTATAGTGTATACATATACAATACAGTAATGGAGTAGTATAGGATCCCAGAAGGCCAACGTACGCAACTACAGCACTTTAGCCGATCACAATTTCGCTTGTCAACCGTATTTTACAACATTAAAATGTCAATTCGTAATGTTATTAATGATGCTTATGATGCGTTTAGAGTTAGAATTCGTGCTCTCATTTGGATTATAGTTCGTAAGTCACAACTTCTTTGTGAAGGCTCCAATGATCTCCGTTATTATAACGATGCCGAATTCTAAATTTATGAACCAAACGTCCACTATTAATTTAATGTTGGTAGTGTTCATGACACAACGATAAAACTTTATTGAAGAAAAGTTTCAGTCTCATTTAATTTTTCGATTCAAATTTTTAATTTTAATTTGTTATAATAAAATAATTTACATAAAATGTCATATCTAATTTTTTCTTTTACAGTAAATTTTTTTTTACAAAAAATCACATTTTCAATTTGACTCGAATTGAAGAACTAAACGAGACATTCGTTCATTTTACCGATTCGAGTTTTTAATTCTAATTTTATTAACAAAAATCACATTTTAATTAGAATTGAAAATTTGAATAAGTTAACTCAACGAGCATGTGTTTTATAACTTTTATTAGCCTTCCAAACATGTAGAGCTGCAAGTTCAGACAATTCACGAAAAATTGAGATGGGCTAGTCTAATACGAGTAGGAGAAGGTCGGCCCAACTTGATTCGAAAACTCAACGTACCAAATTGAACCAAAACTTTATAAGGCAATTAAATATGAGAGAATGAGAGAAATAACATAATTTAGGAGGGGAATAAAAAAATAATAGCAGAAGTTCTGTAAAAATGAAATAAATAACAACTTGATAATTTGTTTTAAAGCAACTAGAAAACTCAAAATACCCCCAGAAAAACCTATCAATTTTCCTTTCTTCTCTCTCTCCTCTCCTCATCTTTCCGTCTGTCTCTCTTCTCCCAGCACAACCATTACAGAGAGCTTCACACCCGTTACAGAAACGAAGCTCTCTCTCTTCTCTCTCCTTCTCTCTCTCTCTCTCTCTCTATTATGTTGCATCAATATCACCGTCGGAAGTCCCGTTCGGCGTCGTTACAACAACGGAGATCATCGGAGCCTTCACAAAGAAGTTGTGACTTCACAAATCGTTGCCATCGATGAGCCAGGGAGTCCTCACAAGGTCGGATCCAGTCGCTCCGGCGCGATTTTAGGATCGTTCGTGGCGTCGATGTTTCACCTGTTTCGTCCCATTTTTCGGCGACGAGTAGCCGTGGCGGAGAAGACTACCAGAGCCATAGACAAAGATGACAATGGAGCAAGGACAGCAAGCGAGTAAAGAAATACTGTGAGAGAGAGACACGAGTGAGGACTGAGGAGAGAGAGTATGTGCGTGAGAGAGAAGGGGTAAATGTGTAATTGACTTTTTTTTAATTAGGCAATTGATTAGAAAAATGTTGTTTAGCTCAATTAGTTTCAAATTGCTATTGTTAATATTATTTCACAAAATTGTTATTTGCTACAAATTCTCTAAAACTAAGGAAAATAGTAAAAAATATGCCAATATGAAAAGTTTAAGAAAGTATATATGCCAATTTTTAGTTATAGAAATTAATAGGCTATAATTTGTCAAGTTATGGTTCATAATCAAATAAGTTATGGACAAACTTGTCAAGTTATGGTTCATAACCAGACAAGTTATAGACAATTATGGACAATAACTTGTCAAGTTATAGTTCATAACCAGACAAGTTATAGACGAAAACAGTAATTTGGCATATTTATTAACTTATGTAAACTATTAGTCTATTAATTTTAATTCATCTCAAATCTTGACCTATTTTCTCCTTTCTCCTTAAAAATAATTTGATTAGGTCGGGCCAAATAGACTTTTTAGGACCTAGAACCTTAGTCTAGCTGAAGTCTTCAGCCCAGGATCATGTCTAAACTTATATTAGAACACCATATTATATAATCATATAATAATATTATTTTTATATAATCATATTATATAAGTTAATGCGAATGATAAACTAATACGGTCTATTTTATATTATTAAATATGACTCATTTTTAGCATATTATATTGTATTATTTCTTAGTTGATTAATGATTTATGTTGAGGTTGGGCACGACTGGGGTCTAGATTGGATTGACATAGAATTATGCCGGAGTCTATAATTGTTTAACAATTTAGGGGTACAATGCAAATTTATATTTTTTAAAAATTATATTTTGACCCCTTAATTTTTATAAATTATATTTTGACCTCAAAATTTTTATAAAATTATATTTGGGCCCATATTTTTTAAATTATATTTTGACCCTTAAAAAATTTAAAAATTATATATTAACCCTAAAATTTTTAAAAAATTACATTTTGACCTCAAATTTTTTAAAATTTACAATTTGATCCCTTGTACAAAACTTACAATACAATACACTTTATACAATCCAATACAATTTGAGCTACCAAACGTGGCCTTAGTAAATAATAATTGGCATGTAAGATTACGCCTTCATGAGAGGAAAAAAAAAATGATATTAGAAAGTGCACAGGCAAAAAGCATAAACGGCACAAAAATTTTGGACGTGTTTTGGGTAGTACTTGAGATTTTGTGTCGTAGAAAGATACTTGGTTCTGAACAAATGATTTAAACTCGAAAACACACCATTGAAAACATCGTTTTGTATAGGGTTCAAATTAAGGTGATTTTAGTTTTGATTTTAAAATTAAAATTATGATTTATAATTTTAGGTCCAAATCATAGTACTGAAACCACCAAAATTAAGGGGGTCGGTGGTTTTAGAATCATGAGTGATTCATGGTTTAAAATATCACATTATGGTTTAAATCTTGAATCATAATCATTCAAACTAAACACTCATTCTGTGTGAGTCAAATTAAAACCATTTTTTATTTTTTGTAAACAAACACTGATTTAAACCCATAATCATAATTCTGGGTTTATAACTCTTATACCAAACAGCCACTGAGTAACTACTATGTAAATTGTTGTATCAACCTTACCCGTGGCTGCAAAACTCTAAAGGTCATTACATTTTACCCATCAAACTTTTTAAAATTCCAACTTTGTTTAGCAAAATTTTAAACTAGTTCCACTTGAAGATTTTTATTAAAATTTACGCTAAAAATGATGGAAAAAAAGGAGGAGAATTATTCTCACATAAACTCTTTACTAGTATTTATGCTTAAAATAAACTGAAAAACACCGCATAACCTCACTTTGTTCTGTTTTTTCCGATTTTAATAGAAACCCTAAAATAAGGGACTAAATTGCACTAATTTAGGGATAAAATTTGAACGACTTAAGAATGAGGGATACATGTGACAATATCCTAATTTGTTAGTTTTAAGAAAATTTTAAAAACTATCATTCATTTCATGAGATTAGTTACCATAAAATCCCTTAAACCCTAGCACACTTTCAAAAAAAAAAAAAAAAAGGAAAAAAATTTCACTTCAGGTTTTTTTTTTTTTTTTTCATCTCATTTTTTTTCCCCTTACCGTCCTCTCCTTCACTCTCTTTCCCCCTCTGCTCTCTCTCTCTCTCTCTCTCTCTCTCTCTCTCTCTCTATATATATATATATACATATTTATATATACCTTAACCATTGCCGCTGAGGTAAGTTCTTGCTTGTATTTGCTTTCAACTTCTTATTCATCCTCTCTTTTTTTTTTCTTTTCATGATAATTCTCGGAACTGGGCATGCGAAAAAACACTCAACTAGATTTTACACAAGTTGTAAATGGCCTTTTTTTTGTATACACTAGACTACTACTGAGTAGTTCTGTAAGAAATTCGGTTTGTATACTTTTTGCCCTTTTGTATAGTTATTAGTTTTATGAGAGCAAAGAGGTAAATTTTGTTGCTTTTCTCCCGATATTTCTGCTCTCTTGTATATGAACGACCAAGAATTTTCTATTCAGCTTTGAGATCTTGTGCTTTTAATTTGCTTAACTATGATGGACTTTATCATATTGAAATAAGGTGATATTGATACTTAGTTGTTAGTTTTTTATAATGTGTGGGAAAAAAAATGAATGAAAGTACATGAATTTCTTGTTGATTTTAGGTTGAAGGGCTAGAAACTTATATGGGTTAGTCTGCATTGATCATAGAAACAAAATTCGATTCTGAAATTTCTCTAATTTTTCTAATCTCAGGTATTTTAGATTTTCAAGGCAACTATTAGGTTTTTCGAATTTTCGGGTTTTTCAGTGCCTGGAAATTTTATCCCAAAATTTACCACTTTCCATCTCTGAACCATGTATTGGAAGCACTTAATATCTGGGCAAATAATCAACAAGATATCGAAAATTAATGGCAGATTGCGGTCAAAATCTCCCTACATTTCTGAAAATTCTTTTGCCATGTCTGCGCCAGTCTCTACTTCATCATTCCATTCATCAAACACTTACGGCTCAAAACCCTCCCAAAATCCTCAATGTCAAAAGCTGAATGCTTCATTTAGGAGATACATTCACTCAACTCGGTTGACAAAGCTGAGCTACGTAGAGGATGGATTGAAGCTTGAATCGGATGAATCTGATGAGGATGGCACCATGAATGAGTTCTTATCTCGGTTTGTTTGGATTATGCGGGGAAAACTCTCTGAAGCTTGTGGTGACTGTGATAAACGGACGATTGATGGTATGCTTTTGATCATCGTCGAGAAGGTTGTTTCAGAGTTGGAAAAGGGTGGGGTTGAGCAAATGCTTGGCTCAGCCATGTCCTCTTCATCGCAGGACTTCAGTGAGGATTTGTGGAACACGGTCTGGGAGGTGAGCAATATGGTTTTGGATGACATGAAGAAGGCAACCAAGAAGGAGAAGATGAAGAGGGTTCTGCAGTGTGAAGAGGTCAAGGAGATGGTTAGGTTCGCCAGCGAAATTGGAATCCGTGGGGATATGCTGAGGGAGATGAGGTTCAAGTGGGCTCGTCAGAAAATTGAGAAAAGTGATTTTTATGAAGGTTTGGAGCGTTTCAGAGCAGAAGAAAAGGCCCGAGAAAAAGCCAAGGCAACAACAGATGTTGAAGAGGGTGCTGTGGTTGAGGGAAGACCTAAGACTGTTTCTCTTCCCAAGAGACGAGGGAAGATTCGTTACAAGATTTATGGTCTTGATCTTTCTGGTCCAAAATGGACTGAGGTGGCTGATAAAGTTCACGAGGTAGGAGAGATGATATGGCCTGAAGAGCCAAAACCAATATCTGGGAAATCCAAGCTTGTCACTGAGAAAATTCTTGCTTTGAATGAGGAAGATGACCCAACTCCACTCTTGGCTGAGTGGGCGGAACTTCTTCAACCTAGCAGGACTGATTGGACCGTTTTTCTTGATAGATTGAAAGAGGAAAATCCTGGCTTGTACCTTAAGGTATACCATTGATGATCTTATTGTTCCTTTTTTGTTTATTTATTTATTCTACGAGTGCATATACTTGTTTTGTTGGATGCTGGAGAAGAGGTACATGTTAAGCACGTGTAGTTCCATATGCGTTGCCTCAGTTCTCTACTCTCATTGTTCCTCTCTTAGTTTTTAGTTTACATTTCAATGCATAAATGTGCATTTGCACTTGAACATGTAAAGGCATTAGTTCTAAGAATATTTATCTGCATATGTCAAGACAAAGTTAAAATTTAATCCTTCACTTACTCTATGCTCTGTATCTATTGTCCGGTTGATTAATTGAGATATCCACCTGAGGTTTCGTCCATGCTTTCTTTCTGCTTTTCCTTTTTCCCATGTAAGTTGTGTTTTTCTCATTGGTCAAGACTTTTTTATCCGGTTAGGATAAGGTACTTAACTATTTATATTTAGACGTGCTCTGGTATATTCTCTCATGAAATTGTAATTTGTAGGTGAATGCTTTAAGGCAAGCTGGTCCGTGTTCAAATATTCTCTCTATATAGTTATGACGTTAAAATTACTTGTTTTCTAGGTAGCAGAACTTCTATTGAGCGAGAAGTCTTTCCAAACGAATGTTCGTGATTACTCAAAGTTGATTGATGCACATGCTAAAGAAAACCGCTTAAAAGATGCTGAGAGAATCCTCGAGAAGATGAAAGAAGATGGTGTCATGCCTGACCTTTTAACTTGCACCGTTTTAGTCCACATGTACAGCAAAGCTGGAAATCTTGATCGTGCGAAAGAAACATTTGAAAGCTTGAAGATGCATGGCTTCCGACCAGACTTGAAGGTCTACAATTCGATTATCATGGCATATGTGAATGCTGGACAGCCTAAGCTGGCGGAGTCATTAATGAGAGAGATGGAAGCAAAAGATGTCAAAGCCACGAATGAGATATATATGGCATTGCTCCGATCATTTTCCCAAAGTGGCGATGTTAGTGGAGCCGGACGAATTGCCACCACTATGCAGTTTGCAGGGTTCCAGCCAAATTTCGAGACGTGTAAATTGCTTGTTCAGGCGTGCTCACGAGCTGGCGAGCCTGATCAAGCGAGGAGCAATTTTGACTACATGATGAAAATTGGCCAAAGGCCTGATGACGAGTGCATTGCAAGCATGATTGCAGCTTATGAAAAGAAGAATCTATTGGATAAGGCACTAAATCTTTTGTTGCAGCTTGAGAAGGACGGTTTCTTGCCTGGAGTTGCTACTTACATTGTTCTCTTGGACTGGCTCGGAAAACTACAGCTAATCAACGAGGCTGAGGAACTTCTGGGAAAAATTTCCCAGCAGGGGGAAGCTCCTCCATTCCAAATTCATATAAGCCTTTGTGATATGTATTCTAGGGCTGGAATTGAGAAAAAGGCCCTACAAGCTTTGGGAGTTCTGGAGGCTAAGAAGGACGAATTGAGCTCAGAAGACTTTGAAAGGATTATAAATGCTCTTAAAGCTGGTGGTTTTTCGAAGCATGCCCAGAGGATGCATGAGCTAATGGAGGCCCGAGGCTTCACTGCTTCAGAGAAAATCAAGGTGAACCAGAGGATGCATGAGCTAATGGAGGCCCGAGGCTTCACTGCTTCAGAGAAAATCTCTCGTACTTTCGGCCGCATGAGACCCGCAACGAGGTAATATGTTGACCATCTTAAAGTTGATGATCTTTGTCTTCAGGAGATCAACAATGATTTTGTTCGTTTTAGTGATGCCGGTTAGAAAGGCAAGGCCGAAGCTTTTACTAAATAAGGGCTTAGCTTAGAACCGTACTTGAGAGTTTGCGAACCCATACTGGTCAATCCAGCAGCATGTTATGGATAAAGGAGTTTAGCTCTTTTCAACATAATCATCTCAATGTTTTTTTTTTTTTTTGGGGTGAGTTTCATTATGGTTGTCATGGCTATCATGCATCCCCTCTGTTGGTTGTGCTAAATAGTCTGGTTATTTCAATTAAATAATTAGGGTAGACAGTTTCTGGCAATTTACTAGAGCATAAGGGAATTAATTGCTCGAATCATTTTGCGTTCACACGGTCAATTCGTTACGTTTCTTTTATCTCTTGCTTGATAAATGGATTTGGGTTTTTCTTTAATTTATTCATCTTGAATTAACACAATTTTTGTGGGAAAAACAAGGGGTCAAACTTATACACTGCCGCTTGCTGCCATTTTATTTTTACGTTGGGTTCAAAATGAAGTTATAAGCTTCAAGTGATAAGAGAATTTAAAAGGTGATAATAGTTGGTAATGGTAGATGTGAGAGGTACAGAGCTAAGGATTTTTCGTCAACAGAAATTTACTTGCTATTAAGGAGATGTTCGATTTCACTGGGATTTTGCCGATCATGATGCTGCATTGAATTTAGGCTCTGTGAATTTACGACTTATCCTTACTGTTAGACTGAATCTGTATGGACACTGCTATTCTACCTTGCATCCCAACAAGCGTTTCAAACATACATTTTGGATGAAAATTGGTCCAAGAGTGAGCAGAAACCATGGGTGCGTTTGGTATCGTTTTCAATTTGTTTTTGAAAATGTTTCTGCACGTCTTGACTGTCTCTAAACTACGGGCTCATTTAGTTCACTGATTCGAATTTTTAATTCGAATTTAGATGTGATTTTATGTGAGAACTTTTTATTGTAGCAAAAAAATTAAATATGACTGTTTTTGATAACTTTTTACTGTAACAAAACTCGAATTCTAAACTCGAATCAGTGAAATGAACATTTAGTAAATGCTTTGAAATCAAAAATGAAAACAACCGGTGAAAATGGTCTTTGTCAAAAAAAAAAGAAAATGATTCAACAAATTTTCACGTTCTTGTTTTTTATTCTGTAAAACTATAAATTAATACACATTTTCAAAAACATACCCAAAATAAAATGTCACTTTTTCCTGATCTAAAATAATATTTATAAAAAATAACTAAACACAATTTCAAAAGCAATCCCAACACCATTTCCAAAAAATCTCATTTTGTTTTGATTTCATGCTCAAAATAAAATTATTTTGAAAATATTATCAAACAGCCCTTATTTTATTGTGTCATTATGGTCCATAATGTCAACAGAGATTCACCATCATGAACCAAACGGGCCATTATAAAGGTGAAAATATTCTGACTATATAGACTAAAAAGTAAAAGGGATTCTATTAAAGATGGCTTTAGAGTTTAGATACATCCTGATTCCTCAAATTTTGTTATCAAGAATCAAGCCTATCTGCCTTGTCAAAGGCAAAGGTATGTTTGATATTTACATTCTAACTCATTAACGTCTCCAAAGCACAAATAACCTCAACTCAAGTTGCCAACATCAAGGAAACATTCCCTCAAGAAACTCATCGAAGTGATCATCATCATCTTCTTTAGGCTTAGAGGTGGAAGCTGAAGTTTTCTTTCCTGCACAGAACAATTTGAAAGTGTATAAGCAAAACTACAAATAGAAAATGGCTTCTGTATTTAGAATAATGTTTGTTGTCTAACTTTTTAAACATCTGCTAATAAAAGGATGGAATGGGAACTCGTTTATTAGATCAGTTGGTATCAAAAAATTGAGATGAGAGTTGGGAACCATAGCGTTATCTATAGTTATATAGAGAAGGATGGATGAGGTTAGAAGAGTTCTGTACTTCAAATGGATGAGGTTAGAAGAGTTCTGTACTTCAACCAAAAATCCAATGGTCCAAGATTAATTAACACTCTTTGTACTTTGAATTCAATGATCAAGATATCTCCACATGGATTATGTATTCTCTCACACCTCAATGCTTTAATTGTTATATAACCTATTTCTCACATGCTTTTTTTCCTTTATCATAAAGCTTTTGTTTTCATATATTGCTAATACACATGCATGTTTTAATGCACTAATATATGAGTAATATATTATGTTATGAGTAATATATACTTCATGGAATATATTATGAGTAATATATACTTCATGGATTATTATATAAAGCGTTTGTTTTCCCACATGGATTATGTATTCTCTTTTTTGCTTTTTTGCTTTTGTTTTCATTTACTATTTGACATGTTATGGTAATGCATTAATAATGAGTAATATACTATGTTAATATATTGAAAGTATGCTTGTTAAATTTTTTTATTGATTGATAATAATTTGGTAATACCAATTAGACTTAATTAGTATTCAATTAGCAGAGTTATTATTTTAGTCTCTATTGATGTTCTTTTTTTAACCATTTTTGTTTAGATTTTTGAATTTTAATACTATTATTTGGCTTGTTATACTAATGCGCTAATAATGAATAATATATTATGTTCATATATTGACAGTACGTTTGTTAAATATTTCTATTGATTGTTAATAATTTGTTAATACTAATTGGACTTTAATTAGTATTCAATTAGTAGAGTTATTACCTTGTTTTATCGATACTAAATATTAAGTTAAAGAAACAGGGCGTGCCTTAGGCACGTCCCTCATGCTAGTTCTTTATAGAAATATTGATACTTAAATCAGTAGTGACTCCAAACCTTCTCTTCTCTTTTCTTTGCTATCCTCACTATCTGTATCTTCATCACTCCTTGACCGATTCCTGGAGAGAGAGAGAGAGAGAGAGACGTAAAGAATTGGAAGGGGGGGGGGGGGGGGGGGGGGGGGGGGGGGGGGGGGTTGCGCCGGAGTTAAGATAAGGTTTACCTCTTTCTTCTTCTATGCTCTTCCCGTTCCCTTTTCTCAGATTGCTCCTTCTCTTTCCGTTTTTTGTAATTAAGCTTCTCAGCACACCTATTGGGTAGGTAGTTATTAACCCAAAAACAGAAAGCAATAGCGACCAAAAAAAAAAAAAAAAGGAAGTCTTGTTTCAAAATGTAGTACTGAAAAACATGTTAAACAAATTATCGATCTGTTTACATAACAAAACAAGAAATTATTTGCATGTAAAACGGAAATGAAGACCTTAGACTGAAGATGTCTCGAGAGAGTTATGGGGAAAAGGTAAGAAACGGTGAAATCTATAAAGAGCCACCAACCTCTCACAAGCTACCAATTTCACTAGAGCTTGTTTGTTTTCTCCAGCTTCAAAATAAGAGAAGTTTACCTATAATAGAACAGCAAATAAAAAATGGAAAATGGGATGTAAGGATTCTATAAATATGCAAGAAAATTTGTAAAACGTAACAATATTAACAAATGATATATCTTCCACTATTAGCTCAGTCAACAGAAAAGCTAATGAAGAGATCAATTGAGATGATTCGTACAAACTACAAACACGTGCCTCATAGCTTGCTAAGCCTTCTTTTTCATCGCAATGCTTGTTCCCGCATATGAACTGCCCTGACAGTAAGGGTAACAAATAATAGAACAGTCTCAAATACAAGAGAGAAGAAATAGTTTAAATAAACAGAATCTAAATGAGACATATTTCTTTGTTGAAAAATGCCAAATATTAGGATTTATGCAATCTTTACCTTTACCAGATACGACTTCCTTCTCTGTCCTCCACCTCAAACCAATCTAATAGAACAAAAATAAAATATCGGAATATCAGAAGAAACTTCTTTTCGTTCATTGTTATGTAGCTTGAAAATACTAACCATGGATGAAATAAGAAATCATTCATGAGTTTACCCCTATACATTGAATCCTACATAATGCAAAGACTTGAAAGAAAAAAAATAACAACTGAATGCACCACATCGTAATGTGACCGGTCTCAACTACTTAAATTCTGCATGTAATAGGTAGCCACATACCTTGCCACTCTTGTAATACGACATGTCAGCTATGCAGTATCTTAAATTAGTTTTTAAGGCAACAATTGAACTGCACTGATTTAGATTCAATAAAATGTAAACTGAGTAGTGATATATACAAGTCACCTCTCAAGAGATAGTAACTCACTAACAGAAAATTTGAAAGCGACAAATCAAAAACAAGAGAAGAAAAGATTAGGTGCCCGGTTTACATTTTACACTAAGAGCATAAGAACTTAAAAACACACTTCTAGATCTATCATGAAACTGTTTTATAAACACAATACGGATACTCTTTAAAAAGCTTATCATAGTATCGCTTGACGAGCCTTTGCTCCCAAGATGTATCCATATCATCTTCCTCAGATCGTATGAACCTTGATGAATCAACAGAATAGAAAAGTCAATCATAATTCCAATGAGAAGATAATACATTGAGGTTTTTCCCGAAATTATGAAATCCGGAATAAAAGGTAAAATAGAAATGCAAAGCAAACTGCATTTTCCGAGTTGATGAAAATAAACAAATAAAAAAGCGTAACAACTATAAGAGTACTTTCCACCCACGCATAAATGGTTAAAGTGTTAATACCGATATCCTTCTCTCAAGGTATCTTGATCCGTTTTGACAGGCCACCTAATGCTCGACGACTTTTCTTTTCCATAGAACCCAACTGCAACAACAAACAAGAATCTTCAATACAGTTTATAGAACTTAAAAACAAAATCGCAGTTTCTTGTCAACTAGAATGAAATTGTTATATTCGAACAATGGAGAAACACTCAACTCTTCTCCAGGTGGCCTAACAAAATGGATAAAAAATCACAAGCCAAAAAGGCATCTGGGCATATACTAATAATTGATTTTTCATGCATGCCAAATTTGTGATCCTCCATCTGCTCTGGTGCTAATAGCTTTTGTTTCTTTTTACAATAATTTGGTACCTAAAGACGTGTGTGTACCTGTGGCATACAAATACAAGAGCTCCGAAGTCTCTCTATGAGACATGCAAGTGATAATATTGACTCTCACACTATCAAAATGTGCCTTAGAAAGTGTGCCCACATAGAGAAATTAGCTTAAAAAACGAAAAATCTATATCTTTGTGCAAATTATATTCCCGTTTCATGTATGCCCCGTATCTGCTCCACCATCTGCTCTATTGTTAATGGCGTTGCTAAAAAAAATCAGAAGTCGGTGCATATAGAAATGATTGTAAAAGGTATGTATAGATAAATTCTGGATTTTTATTACTTTGACAAAGTTATTTATTGTTATATATCATGTACGGACGACTGTAGCCTCCTTCATACTTTGTGAAGAAGATTGTTCGTCGCCCATTGGCTTTAGGACACACCAGGAGCTACCAAATACAAATCTCAGAATTTGAACGCTCCTTTGTGTCCATTTCTTTCAAATTCCCAATCTTACAACCATAATTAAACGCCAAAACAACTTTTCGAATCTGAGTAGTAGGTTTAAATACAAATTTAACTAATCTCTAATACAAATTCGGAAACGATTATTACCGTAGTCTTTAATGAACTTCTTGTGGCGATCGTACGCGTTAAGCCCGCGAATGTGAGCTTGGTATTGCCTGAATCCCACAATTAATCAGAAAAAAAAAATGCGAACTTGATTGTTGATGAAGAAAATGGCAGAGAGAAACGGAAAATTATTAGTGTTAAGGAAAGGAATGTACTGTTTCTTCTCTTCCCGATCGAAAATTGCAGACTTGAGAGACGCAAAGGATGCCATTGTCAGAGGCTTTGGTGAGCTCGAGAAAAGCCCTAAATTTTGCCAACGAGCTCTGAGCTCCGATTGCCGAGGAATATGAAAGGAGCGAAACGACAATGCAGATTGTGATGGGCCTCTTTGGGCCTTACTTCGTTCTTCAATTGGGCTAATGGCGTATATTGGCCCAACAAAAGATAAAGATTCTTTTTACTAAGTGGACGTTTGGTACGCAGTAATCTTAAGGATGGGAATGAAAATCTATAATATTATCATGTTTGGTATAAGAATTATAATTTTTAGATTCCTAAGAAAGTGATTACCATGAGATTCACTTTTTCTCATTTTAAGGTAAGTTGAATACCACCTAACATAGTGTTATTCAAATTCTCAGGAATCTCAAACTCATAGGAATCTTACCCACACACCCAGTGCAGCTTACCACACCGAGAACGATGAGCATGAGAGAGCTTCCGAGGAGTGCCACC